GAAGCGAGGCCTTACTGTCTTGAAAATTCCAAAACATCGGAAGACCAAAAACATTATAGGGCTATACCACATACGAACAGCGCCTTCAATCTTTGGGAGTCTTTCGTGGCCACTATGGGGGTTTGCATAATGAACTTAACATAGTTTAATACATTTGAAGCAGCCCTGATCACTCGCAATATCAGCTGCTAAAGCTCAGCCATAATAATAGACCCAGAGGGCACCCACTCAAACTGGCAGAACAAAACAGCCGGTTGAAGGATAGACGATTTTTAGGCCCTACGTGTTCGTTACACAGGACAAACTCCCAGAACCTATTGTTTCAGCCACGAAGTTAACTGCGTTCAAGATCGCGCCAACAATGCACTGCTCGGGCAGCAAATTCATCAACACATCGTGTGGCAACGCGTGATCAGTGAAACAGACTTAGGTATCACCGTACAAGAAAGTCTGGACAATCCGCTCCAATGTTCGACAGCAGAAAATATGACGCACTTGAACTTGAGGCTTTTGAGACGACCTCTCGGCACCCTGTATATTCGTTCCTACGTTAAATATGCGGCTCAGGCCTGGCACTCATGGTTAAAATAAGGCATTCCCACTTGGAGCAGCGCCAAAGAAGAGCCACCAAGGTAACACGTGGAGCACTCGGTCTCGGTTACGAACTGCGTCTTCCTTTATTCGGTTTGTTCTCAGAATACTGACGGCTTCGCGGCGATCTCATGCTAAGATACCGGATACTAATTGAAAGCGAGCACCCATGTGCTTCACTGCTAACCCTAGCCCCTTAAAAACAATGCCAAGGCCACCAACTGAAATTAGTAACGCCGGGCTTTCGTTTGTATTGCAGGTATCTTTGCTCTCTCCGAATCACTGGAATGCACTTCCCACGCATGTGGTGAACACATCAGCAATCGCGACATTCGAAAGACTAGTAGACGTAGCTAAGTGATGAACGCTACACATCAGTATGATAAAGTGCGGTGCCTAGACTATTGTTATTTCACGTTCCACGCCGGAACGATCCGCAAACGTGCCAGCCTCCCGTTTATGCAGATAGTGACAAACTTCCCCTCTCCTTTACATCTCCGGTGAAGTTGGCGGTTACCCTGTTTGTAAACTTGCCGCCATCTTGTCTTCGGGAATATGCTGGCCTAAACGATACTTTGGACCTGTAATGTGTCTCCTTTTGTCCACCTCTATGGCACTTCTGGCGGACATGTTTACTGAAAGGACACCATCTCACAAAATACCAACCTCCGTATGGCCAACAAGCCGATGGGGATTTAGCTTGTGAACTTCTGTGCTCATTTGCTCGGGCGTTGCTTCTTGAAACTTACTGGACAGTAATATCACCAGTATGCTTCTTTGAATCCTCCACAATAGCTGCGTCGTGTATTAAATTCTTGATCACCTGGGCTTCAGAAACAACGTTCTGTAAGGTGACATCTGGGTCGCGTTCCAACATCCCAAGTGTTCTGGTCCGAATTTCGGCATCTTTAAGGGACTGCAAACTGCATACTAATATCAGGCACTCGAACTGATCTTCGGCAGGCAACTTTAGTTTAAATTTCTGGTATTCACGCTTCACTGTCGGTGCATGAGTAATAAGGCTTTCACTTTCTTGCAAAGCTTCAAACAATTGTACCGATTATTAAAAGCGATAACTGGTCTCCAAACCTTTCTGTGAGCAGGGCAACTGTGCCCTCAAACCTGAAGTCATGGGCGCTCTTTGGCAAATTGTAATTGAGATATCTATCATGCTCGACCGTTCCCCATTTTCGCAACAGCAGACGAACTTTTGACGCATTATTGAGACTTGTCAACTCTGCCCTGAAAACATCTTCACAGCGCCTGAACCAAGCATCAAACATGAGTCCTGAGACAAAAATTAACTCACTAACGCTGCTCATTACTGCGTCCGCTGAAGGCTTCCCAGTATCCTGGAGGTGTGGACTGAAAGATAATGTTCGGATGAGAGTCTCAATCATTTGCAGATGTACAGCTTCAAATTGCTGCTACTGTTGTAACAAAATAGTCTACAGGTCTTCTGATGACATGGACATCCTGATTTAGTTTACCTGCGCCGTCAAATTCTGTTGTGCTTTCCGCTGACTGTACGGATAACCTGCAGCTGCCGCGCAAGCTGACCAGCCGACTCTCCAGATTAGAAGACAAAGGTTTCACGCGAAAACTGTATTGAGCATTCAGCAAACAGTGTAAGCAAATCGAATAATGGGGTCCAACCAACAGTTACTAAGGGAATGGCTTAGCGCTCACTGGCGGGCTTCAAGCTAGACTATCCTCATTGGTAGCGTTCAAAGTGAAGCGTCATCCTTAACCCGCTCTCATTGGTTGGCCAATAAACTTCGGCCAGCGTCATGATCAACTGTTCCGGGCTGTTAGAAAATGGTTACCTACCGGTTAACAATCTCTAACATAGACTTCGGTACTGTTTCTATTAAACGCCAGACTGTTTTAAAAATTGCAGCTCACACAGATTCAGATGGGATCTCTTCAGTTCTTCTAAACTAATAATGACACGTCATTTGCTACTTAACTTATTTAATACATCAATGACATATGAGATGTATCCTGATTAGTGGAAACCGAGGATAGTGATATCCCACCACAAAATGGGTTTATACACGAATATTAGGTACTATCGGTTCATAAATCATACCATCTTAATCACTAGGATTATGCAACATCTCAATAAAAACGAGTGTTAAATTCTTAACATCAAACAATCTTTAATCACTGTCACAGTGCGGACTTTCCCAAAAGCGTTCAAGTCCTACTTGCTAACTAAATTTCGTTTATTATTTAGCGAAACCGATAGATTATGGTAAGCTTTGTATTGTACTTCACTTAGGTCCTTAGGATTCCTAGGACACTTCCATACAGAACGTTTTACATACGCTTCCCAATAATAGTGTCGCTGGTCCACTATTGCTTTGAATAGAAGCGTGCCTCGCTGGTCAGAAGCAAATAGTCAATATTGGCGAGTATCTGTCAAGGATAAGGGGTATTACCAGTGGCGTATTATAAAGAAGTGTACTCGGCCTACTTCCGGATATATTTAAATGATCATTTCCCTACGATCAGAAACAGAAGACCTTACCTGTTTACCGATGATGGAAAAATATCGTATGTAACTGATTCCCAATATTTGTCTCTTATTTCCGAAATCCTAGTCTCTCTGGAAGTGGTTTATCGGATCCTCCACGTACTTTACAACACCCAAGTGCAGCATCATATGCTATGGATGCAGAGTTTCATTGGGATGTTTGGTTTTGCATTATACTTCACACATTTTAGGTGATTCGATCCATAACTTGGACCTTCGTTACTTAGCTTTGTTGAATTTTAAGAAAAAGTTGGGTACAATGTGTAAAACTAGACCAATTACTGGAACGATCAGCCGCCTGTTTACAATGATCGAAGCTAAACTCGTCGTTCAAATCATATGTCAGGCGTCATTAGAATACTGTTCCATTACTTTAGTACAACTAGAAAAATGACATGCGAGTAATTGGAGAGTCTGGTACGAGAAGAATTGTGAATTGCACTTTAGTCCTATCTTAAATAGGTAAATGCCATCGATTTACAAAACTGGTCACCAACGGACAAACACCCATTATTATCAGCCGGCATTCTAAAAAGCTTTGTCGTACAATCTAAGAGAGAAATACCATAAAACTATTCTGTTGCCTCACACGTCTACGGTGCAACATCTTTACGCCTAAATATCTCATGCTGTCCTGAAGACGACATCGACTCGGACATTTGTGATACAGCTGTAGGATTGGCTACTTGTTGAAAATATCAAAGAACTGTTTCGTAAGTTGCACAGATGAATGGGTGTATGAGGAAGAGCCTGATAACATCTAAGCCATCGCAGGGTTCCCATTACAAAAGTGCGGTTAATGATGGAGAGAAACGTCTGTCGGTACAACGTGTTTCTTTTTCCCTAACTATGAGATTTTACCATTCAAACTTGCATTCATTTGCTCTAACTCGGCTTGATAGCTTATTGATTGTCTATGAAAACGGATACATCAATAGGTTTAATAAATGATGAAATTAATCCATGAATCGTCTTCTACACAGTTTTTTATGCCGCAGCCAATTGGCTTGAAGACCTACCCACAGCCTATAAGAAGCATGTGTACATAGGCGGGTTGGATAAATTAGCCTTATCTTTGACCCTACTTTAGTGCATCATCGTCCGTACCAAGTTGGGTGAAGGACGCATGAGATGAGCATCTATTGGAAAGTGGAATATTTGTTGCTGATTTGCTAAACCATCAAGCTTAAGTACATAATTCCATTTCCCTTCGGTAACATATCTCTGTACTTGCGTGAAGTACCTCGTCCGTTCCAGTTGATGTAGATGATTCACATAACGGGGAAAGTTTCTTGGTTAGCTGAAATGTTATCATATTGTTCGCTCTCATTCTTTCAGATGTTAAAATATTGCCATACATCAGAAACAAACATTTCCTCAACTCTATTTCTCCATGCACAAGCCGTTGTAAGTTCACTAGTGTTATTTTTACACGTATTTGCAACACACCGTCTCAAGGAATCTCAACGCCTCCTGGCTGTCCTCTAGTCAGAAGCTTTGTTGGAACAAAACTTAATGGAGGAATTAAACTTGACCTAGTAAAACTAACATTGTAATCTTAGTATGAATTTTCTACGTACTCTACGCTCGGACAAATATCGCTGGGAGCGTCTCACCTGGGTGATAATATACTTAATACTACAAGTGGCACATTCCCACACTTGTTAGGATAACCATACATGTTTGAGGCAGTTTAGAAAATCCATGATCACATTCGAGAGAAATTCTCGCGGGGAGTAAATATGGCGAAGCGCGCATTCCCTACTAAAATGTTCAGCTGTCTTTTTCGATAGATAGATGTAAGCATTGCTAAACGGCAGAATAATTGTACTTCCAGGAACTACAAAGTGTTATCCGGACTGAATATGAACAAATATTCGGCAACCTGAGGTGTAAATGAAGGAAAAATATATTTACATAAAATACAGAAAAAACATTCCACAGCATCAAGCGAAGCAATGCGAGATTATGCCAGGAGGTAGGAGGTGAAAGCAGGCAGATCACCACAACTCAGCACCTTGCTGCCATGCGAGGTCATCATCATCGTCGTCGTCTAGCATCAGGTCAACGCCAGCTTCCTCATCCTCTTCGCCGTCTACGTCCTCTTCCTCATTCTCGTCCGCATTTTGGTGCAGAGATTCCGCGGGCTGAGTTACGACGTTATCCGCTACCGATCCAATCGGGAATCCTGGTTCGGCAAACGCGACAGACTTGGTTCCACCTGCTTTAACAGCATCCTGTCTGGTTAATATTGATGAGCGTGGATGCAGCTCTGATTGGGCACATGTTGAGGCACTCTCCCTGGGGACCAAAGTAGAGGCGAGTAGTGGCCCGGGCCGAATAGGTGCCGATGGATCAGAAACCATAGAAGGACCAGGTGTGCTGGGTGGAACAAATGACGAAGAAGGCACATTCGAAGGAAATCCGACCAAGGCCTCCAGTGCTTCATAATTAATCTTAGATGAAATAGGCTTGTCTTCGGACTCCTCCGCCACAGGTTCAAACTTGTCGCGACTATCGTATTTGTTCATGGCGCGTGAACGCCTTTGACCAGCCGCACTTCTAGTCTGAGGTAAGACAATAGAGACCACAGACATTCATTAGCAAGTAAATACAGGTGAATAGAAAGAGGGAGGCCTGCAAAAAACGCGTAAACATATACAGCGTAAATGTACAACACAGCTAAAAATCATAAAGGAACGGTACTACCGGGGACAAACTTCTGCTCAAAGTGCAATTTTCGTTCTTCGCGTAGATTCCCCTCAAAGGGATTACTTCGTAGTCCATTAACAACAATAAGAAGATTGTTTATCTTCTCGGTTTCCAGAAACATACCCGTTCCGGCATGATCAGGATTTCAAAATCATGTTACACAATTACAACCACAGAAAGGTACAAATGCCATTAAGACAGAGCAAGGGCAACAGAAGATTTCGAAAAGTAAAGGAAACAGCCAATTAAAGAAAATGGCTATCCGGAGAAATTTATCTCGAAGTATTTGAAGGAACACAAACGCAAGCTACCTAAGAGCATTGTTACTAAAGAAGAGCTGTTTATGCGCTTGCCATTCAAGGGCGATTCCGCTACTGATACCCTATTGCGATGCTTGAAAGGTGCTGTTGAGAAGACTTATTTCGCGGCCCGATTGAGAATTATTTACTACAAGTCGTTGCTTGTAAAACCCTTGAAGGGGAGTTGTCTTCGTTGATCCCTACAATGCGCATTTATCGATACTCGTGCTCCTGTGGTGCGCGATATGTGGGTCGCAGTGGGAGGCGCGTATCTCAGAGGGTTCGCGAGCACATTCCGGCCTGGTTCTAGAAAGACGAGACGATATCTATTATGTCCCACCTCTTTAATTTCGACCAAAAAGCCTCCGGGGATGACTTCCAGGGCATGTACTCACTGTCTGAAGGTTTCATGCAAGGCTACCGAAACCAGCGCCAAGCGATTGCTGAAGCTATCTACATCCGCCAGCTAAAGCCGGAAGTGTGTGTGCAAAAGCGGTAGATATGTCCAGTGCTACTTCTTTGGTTAACAGACAATGTTACCTAACCATCTGATTGCTAACTAAGCTTCTATGTTGTACTTTTTTGCTTTGCTTGCCGTCTTTAGCCTAACCTAGAGCTATTGAGTGACTGTTCGAACAAACCAGAAATCAATTTTTAGCCCGATTTGACCCCAATACCACTTAATCTTTACCATGTAAACGGTTGAGTCCGATGAGAGTTTACAGGAAAAAATTCTCAACCATTCATGGAACCGTCTCCTGCGATCCTGCTTCCATGCGTAGTAGTCCCTCTAAAGAGTTCACGAGCACTTCAACACCCATCTGGCAAGGTGCTGGTGTAGATTAAAAGTATGGACGCCATCACCAGTTTGATTCATCACTGAGGCAAATTTTGTATGTCCCCGTTTAAATGTGATCTAAAATCAAACAGGTGATGACCTCTTTGATCCCTCTTCGGGCCATTTTATACGCACGTAGGGTGGAATTTTGGCTCGTTTAACTCTTCTGAGTAAAGCACTTCTTTGCGGTCTATAGATTTCTGGGCATTTTACCTTCAGGGGGCACACCGACCGACTTGTAAGCTATACTATCGGCTTATCCTCTCGTTATTGGTTGCACGCATCCGGAGACGCCGATGCAGCACTCACGGGTCAAGCTGGTGTAGGTATCATTCTAAGCTCCAAAGCTGAGTCATCGTTGGTTGATTGGATTCCGGTGAACAGCCGTTTATGTGCAGCCCATTTGACGACATCAGCTGAAGCTGATTCACGAAGTAGTAAAAGACGCTGTTTGTTCGTAATTTCCGCGTATGCTCCCACCGACTGCAGTTCTAATGCTGTCAAGGACACATTCTATCATGAACTGGACGCGCTACTACGCAGTGCTACTAGTTCAGATATTATAGTACTTGCAGGGGATATGAACGCACAAGTAGGGCGTCTGAGCTCATCAGAAGCTCAGCTGGGTGGTAATTGTGGACTTAACACCGAACGGACTGACAACGGTGAGCGTCTGCTGCAACTGTGTGCGGAGCACCAGTTGTTTCTTAGTAGCACTACTTTTAGACACAGTGGGCGCCGAAGTGCCACTTGGCGTCCTCCTGTAGCTGGCCAGCGATGGACGCAAATTGACCACATAGCCATAAGTTACAGATGGCGTAGTTCCATTCTGGATTGCCGCTCCTACTGGAGTACCTGTGTCGACTCTGATCATACCTTGGTGCGCTGTCGTTTCTCCATGAACTTTATCGGGAGGCGCACCAAGTGTCCCCTACGATTGGCAACTGAGAAATTGTCTCAGTCCTCGGTCAGGCAAGCCTATCAAGAAGCACTGTATACCGAACTCTCGCTGTCTTGTCCTAATGACATTGAACTTCAGTGGAATAGGATCTCGGCCGCCATGCACGACGCAGGAGCGTTTGCTTGTGGTACTATCCATCAACATGGCACCAGTCACTGGATATCCGAGAGGTCGGTGAACCTGTTGGAATCTAGAAGGCACCTCCCGGCTGGCTCTGAACACAATGTGACCAGACGGGCTATCAGGCGTGAACTAAAGAAGAGCCTACGTGCTGACAAGGAAGCCTGGTGAACAAGTAGAACTCAAGAAATGAAGGAGGCAGGAGCAATAGGCAATTACCACAGGCTCTTCCAGCTAATCCGCACCACTGGTCCCAGAAAACCAGGCGTCAGTGACACAAACAGAGACAGCGCGGGTGCGCAGATACACAATAAGGAGCGCCGTATGGCTCTTTATGCTGAACACTTTGAAGGTCAGTTCAGCTGGCCCCCTGCGCCCGGACCTCTTCCTACTCAGGTGATGCAGGACGAGCTATGGACGGTTAGTTTAGAGCCTCCGTCGGAGGCCCAGGTCCGAAACGCGATCACAGCCCTCAATCATTTTCGTGCCGCTGGCCCGGATTCCCTCCCACTTGCACTACTTAAGGATGGAGGTGAGGTCCTCTGTAAAGCACTGACCTCCCTATTCGAACGTATCTGGAAGGAAGAGTGTCCCAGGTAATTGGAGCGAATCGATTATAGTGGCAATATACAAGAAGGGCAGTCGCACAGATTGTGCGAACCACAGGGGTATTAGCCTAACGCCAGTTGTGACAAAATTATTGGCCTCGATTATCGTTCGTCGCTTCACTGCAGAACGAGAATCTCGGATTAGGGAAGAGCAAGCCGGTTTCCGTCCAGGGCGTGGCTGTATAGACCATATATTCACTTTGCGGGAGGTGCTAGAGCAGCGCCACGCATACCGCAGACCGACAATAGCTGTGTTCCTCGATTTCAAGAGTGCGTTCGATTCAGTCGATCGATCGATTCTGTTCGAAATACTTGTGCGGTATGGTGTTCCCACGAAATATGTGAACATCCTTCGTGCTCTATACTCGAACACCACAGGTGGAAGGTTAGTTGATCTAGATTATGCGGACGATATCGTCTAGCTTTTCGACAATGTTGGGGCGGCCCAATCAACCCTGAATAGCCTGTCCGCTGTGGTCCCATTATTTGGTATGCACTTCTCATCTTCAAAGTGCAAAGTGTTGCTGCAGGACCACCAGCCAGTTAATGCCCCCTTGACGCTTGCTAACGAGGAACTCGAGGTAGTTGATCATTTCACTTATCTTGGCAGCTGCATCAGTAATGATGAGCGCATAGAAACTGACGGCAGCTCACGCATTGCAAAATCCAGAGCTACCTTCTTGAACCTGCGACATCTTTGGGGACAGAAGGGCGTTTCCCTCCGTCTAAAAGGCCGTGTATACAAGGCCACGGTGAGGGCCGTTTTGCTCTATGGCAGTGAGACTTGGCCCCTTCGGTCTGAAGATCTGAGGCGCCTTCAAGTCTTTGATCATCGTTGTCTGCAAAGCACTGCTGGAGTCGGATGGCACCAGCGTGTCCGCAACAACGATGTGCGTAGGCGAGTACTAGGTGGTGATAATCATGCTAGCTCCCTAGAACAATAGATAGCATTAAATAAGTTGCGTTGGCTCGGGCGCGTGCTACGTATGTCTGGTCACCGTTTACCTAGGAGGGCCTTGTTCAGTCTACCAGGTGTAGGATGGCGCAAAGCTCGAGGTGGACAGAAGTTGACTTGGCAGCAGGAATTGAAGTCACTGACGACGAAATTGGGTGCCGTTGGTCCGTCTCGCCTTCCGGGCTGGAGTCCACGTGACTCGCCCTGTGCTTGGCTCGACTTTGCAGGACATGGCTCGCAACCGACACCAGTGGCGCGTCTGCTGCCGTCTCCTAATCGGATTGCCTGTTTAAAGTGTGTTTGGTGCTGAGTTATCTGCGGGGTAATGGCTGATTAGGACGCGTGGCAGTGAAAGCCGCAAGGAAGCTGTCTCGCCGATGCCGCCTTATCTTTGCACGATAACCAGCAGTTCGTGACGGTATGTTGTCTTCGCAAGGTGCAGGCGCCTTGACCCTGAATGTTTGCTTAGGGCATTAAGGTTTTCAGTTAAGTCCCCCTTCTCTCTCTCTTCTTATTCTTTATTTCATAGGTCCTCATGGTTGTATGGCAGCGAAGCATCAGTTCAAATGGCTGATGTCCTGCTGTTGATGATGATGATATACTATCACCTCATGGCTTGAGTACTATGTAATTATGATTGACCAGCAGAGCAAAATAGGGTCATGCCGGTGTGCACCACATCACAGGTACACGAGGCCTCGCCAAACTGTGGCCTATCGTGTAAGACTGATCAAGGAAGGCTTTGCTATCACGAAGGCAGTGATTGCTCCGCTTCGTGTCCCAATTTTAGTAGATTTACCAAACACGAGTTGCATGTTCGTAAGACGAATGTATGTTATTCACAGCCGTCTAACAGTATACACGGTAATGGAATGTGAACCGGTGACAAAAAAAGCAAGCTCTAGAGAAATGACTAGACCCTAACATGACATGAAGGTAGGTGTGCTCCGTCAATTAATAAGCCACAATGGGAGGGTATTTCCAAGTGCTTTCAAACTTACTCGAATTACGCAAAGGGTCTGAGATCACAAAAATCCCGTTGCAACATCCTCCTCAACCGGGATTGATCAGATG